CTCGATGGCGCCCAGCGCGCCATGCCACACATGTCGGACTTGGCGAAGCTGTTCGGGGCTACGCGTAGAAGCTTGTGAATAATAGCAGTCGGCTCTTTGTCGAGGAGCGCGGGTGGAGGGTCGCAGAGCTGGGCGACGTAGGTGAGGCAGGTGATCGCGGAAACGTTGCACAGCCTGATGCACTGCTAGAGAGGGGCGCGGGAACTGGCGAGCTCGACGATGCGATCCCACCATTTCGCGGCGGGTCCACGCCATTGATCGGTGAACTCAGCGCCGGGACCAACGAAGAAACCAGGGTAGCAGGCCATGTCTGCGATCTTGAAGTTGGCCCGGGGAGTGGGCCGCGGAGAGGGCGTTTCGCATCTGCCTGGCTGCCTCGCCAGTAGGTAGCGACCAGACTCGTGCCAGCACGCACTTCTTAGCCTGAAGCTTGAGACCAGCGAGCTCGTCGGCGGCCAGCACGCGCGGGACGATGCGCTCGATGTCAGCCAGGTGCGCGAGGATGACCCCGAGGTCGCCAGCGCACGCGCTGACCAAACCGCGCTGGATGGACCGCAACTCGCCGGCCAGGGCGGTGACAGTGGGGTCGAAGGTGAGCGCCCAGATTGCGCCGCTTAGGGGGCAGCCTTGCGCGACGCCAGACTCGGCGTAGAGCGGGGGCTTCAGACTGCCGTCCAGGGGGAGGTACGCGAGCGCCTGGTAGTAAAAGGCCTGGAGCAAAGTCCGCGCGTCACCACGGATGCCCCAGCGCTGCAGGACCCGCCACGCCCACTGGTGGTTCAGCGAGGGGAGCGCGGCAGCGATATCCATGGAGACGCAGACTGGCATGTCGGAGCTCGCGGACGGCTGGATGCTGAGGCGGTGGGCCTCTGCGCCGACCATGGCGACATGCTGCAGGAACTGGCGGCCATTCACGAAGCCCTGCTGCTCGATGGCGGTGTCCTGCGCGAGGCTGGAAAGGACGCGGTTGGTGGTGGCGGCGAGAATATTGACATCGCTGTTCTTCATGGAGATGAGGGCTGAGGACGCCTGGAGCTCGCAGGCACTCGACGTCACCGAGCGGTTCGTCGCCCTTCGGGAGCATTGCCATGATGGCGTGATTGAGGTCGCATGGTGTCTACCGTGGCGATGTGTTGGCATAGGTTGGCCAGAACGGAGATGGCGCCTGGAGTTTTGACCCATGCACGGCAAGGAAGGCCGTCAGGGCCAGGGGCAGAGTCACGCGCATCGCGGGCAGCTTGCAGAAGGTCTTGTTCCCCTGGCTCTCGGAGTTCAGCATCGCGGCGCTGCGGGAAGATTTGATCTAGGCATTCTGTAATATTGAGGTCGCCAGCCATCTTCGCAGCGAAGATGGGCGCGCAGTGGTTCATAATGGCCACGTTCATCCAGTGCGCGTCATAGATGGTGGACTCCGTGCTGTTGCTGGCGCCGTTGTCCATCGCGCCCTGTTGACCGTGTCGCCGACGCAATTCCTGCAAAAAGTGCCGCGTCAAGGTCGCGGGTCGCGGGGCCCCCCTCGCCGGCGCGAGCCGCCCGTCGCGCCCGGCAGGCCCCCGCGGCGACGCGAGCCGCCCGTCGCCGGGGCAATTTTCACAACCTGGCATGGCAGTGGTCATCGGGGAGGACGCGGTAACCTCGATGCCGACCAGGACGAGGCGTCGCATGAAGGGCTGCCGAAGTTCTGCTCCACGACCTTCAAGTCGAGCTCGCCGGCGCCAGCGGTCACAAAGTGCCGCTTGATGCCGAGCATGGGCTTCGAGAGCACGGGCTGCGGCGCGGGCGCGACGTTCTTCGCGGAGGCCCGCATGCGCGGCGTCTGCGACGGCCTTGAAGAGGTCGGGGTCCTTGAGGGCGACTTCGGATTCTGCGATCTGCGGGTGCTCGCGGCCGATCGAGAAGTTGTCGATCAGTTCTGTAGCGAGGTGAACGTCCTGATGCCAAACCGCGCGAGTGATCCTTCTGAGGCTCATGCCGCGAACCTCTTTGGAGATGCCCCCATGGGCGCTGTCAAGCTCGTCGCTGGGCACTGCAGTGATGGTGTCACGTGCGCGTCGCACACCTTCATGCATCAGGGTCTTCATGGTGCGTCATTGGTCGACGGCGTTCAGGTGATCGAATTTGGTGTAACTCGCGAGGTTGTCGAAGTGATGGTGGCAGTGCTTCGCGTTAAAGGGAAAGGCCGGGACTGCGCGTGCACGTGGAGGCTTACGCCGGGCATTTCGGAACCGAAGTTGCATGATCTTGCGATCACTAATCGCGTCGCCATGCGTCTCGAGCGGGGCGTCGTCAGCGCTAGGCGCAACCTCCAGCGACGGGATGGCGCGCGGGCAGAGCTGCGAAGCGCCCGTCGATCGTGGACTCCGGGAGGTTGGCCACGTCTCGGCGGGCGGTGGACAGCGCGGTGATTTCCATCATGGGCTGGAGCAGTGAGCGCCGCAAGACGGGCTGGCACTGGTAGCGCGTGGCCGACCCCGTGGTGGGGTCAACTGGCGTGTCAATGCTCCTCGGCGGGTCCGCGGACATATTGAAGTTCCCAAGCGTGAAGAAGATGCGCCGCTGTGGATCAGCGTCTGCGTGCGCTCGGAGTCGAAGCCAGTGGTCGCAGACTGCAGCGCGGTCACTAGGCGTGAAGTCGTAGTTGTGAATGTTGAATATCGTGATGTCGTGAAGCCTGGACGCGTCCGTTACTCGGAGCCAAGCTGCTCGCCCTGGAACTACTTCTTCGAAGACTCGAAGAGGACGCTCTTCGGGTGGGCGGGTCGACTCGACCTGGTCGAATGGGACTAGGAAGCCGATGCCGCCAGCTACACTGGAGTTCGGGATGCCGGAGTGGAAGGCCATGTAGGCGTATTGCGCGGACGCGGCAAACATGTGCATGTCTATGCCAGATCCGTGTGTCTCCTGCGAAGCAATCACCGCGCGTTGACGTAAATATGGAAAAAAGGAGAGCACGCTTGGCTTGACGACGCTTATCAGAGATGCCGTGGAGAGCTTGCGTATTCCAGAAGACGATGTTGAGGCCGTGCTTGTCTGGGTTGGTGAACCATGGCGTCCAACATGCGCTAAAGCCACTGCGCAGAAGCCAAGGCGTCGGCGAAGCTGGATCTGAAGGCGGTGCGGATGTTGCGCTGCTGAGTGTCATCAATGCCGTGGCGAGCAGCAGCATCTGCCCACTGTACGCGGGTGGGCTCGTCGGGCGTCTTGCCAAAGATGATCTGGGCCAGTGCGTCGCGCTCGTGGGAGACGAAGCCCTAGCTGCGGTGGATGCGGATGGAAAGGTTCGGGAGGCGCTCCTCGATGAGCTTGCCAGGGCGCTTGATCTGGACCTCGCGGCGCACCCTGCGCGGGCTCTTATCCGCCGACACGTACGGATGCACAGGAGCAGCCCCGTTAACCACCAGCTTGAAGTCCCTCCAAGACTGTCCAACGCGAAGGGCTTCGTGAAGACGCCGGGCTCGCGGCTCGGCAACCACCGTGCAGCCCGTGACCGTGAAGGAGTGGCGCTTGGCGGAGCCGACGGTATTGAAGGTGACGTCGAGGTTGACCTGCGCGGCCGTGGCTCAGTCGCGGAGCGCGGATTTGGCGTTGTCGGGCGCGAAGGAGTGCGCGCAGCCCAGCCAGCATGTGCAGGGGTCGGCGGCGCGGCCCCCGGTGCCCAACGACTCGATGTTGAGAGCGGGCTGCCGCACCTCGGCGTCGTCCACGATGCCCTGCAGCCTGGCGACCGCCTCGCGAAGCTCGCGAGTGGACTGCTCGGTCCGGCCCATGCGATGCTTGACGTCCTGGAGGTCGCGCTCCGTCCTCTCGTGCTTCTGGTTGAAGTCGGCGGCGACCTTGGGTGACCGAGGCGAGGAACTGCTCCCGCGCGGAGTCGCTGACGGCCTTCGCGGTCTGCTCGAACCGAGCGGCGGCAGAGGCGACCTGCTGCGACATGGCCTCCTCCAGCTGTTTGCGGACGTGCGCGGGCATCCCGGTGGCCGAGGGCTTGGCAGCAGCGTCGGCCCAGGGGCCCTTCCCTCCGGCGGCGGCCGCACCGCCCTCGCCCGCCATGGTGCCGAGGAGGGGTGGCCCGCGCAAGCCACGGCAGATGGCGCGTGAGGTGTGAGCCACTCGCAGGCGAATGCGATGGCAAGGGGTGCGAGGCTCGACCTCGCGAGCACGAGGAAGGCGGGAGAAAAAGTCCGAAGCTGTCCCTGGACCAAGGGTCTCCGTGCTCTGCCACGGGGCGAAAGCATCTTGAGTCTGGAGCCAAAAGGGCTACGGAGGAAGAGGAGGAGGAGGAGGAGGAAGAGGAAGAGATGGCCGACATCGGTGGAGCCACACGCGAATCCATCGGCTACGTGCAAGGGTGACCCTGGGTAAGACCTCTGAGATCCGACGCTCCAAAAAAAAGTGGAGCGGCGGGATTTTGCCAGTTTTCGGCATCCGGGGGCCCTCGCCGGGCCTCGGGAGCGCCAAAAAACGACTCAGGACGAAAAACCGGTCCCGGGGAAATGGTCCGGACCTCCAGGGCCCACGCATCGATATAATTGGAGCAGCCAGATGTCTGGGACCTTTGGTGCACGGGGGATCAAACACATTCGCTACTATCGCATCGCGTTGGGCCCGCACCAGACGTCACTCCGGCGAAGGGTCACTCTGACGCGTAATCGAATCCAAAATTCCCGACCCCACCGATACCGCTACTCCCCGGACCTCTCCCAGGGAGCGTTCTGACCAGAAGTTCGAGACGAGTCCAGCGGTGGCGACGAAAGCGAGGCGAAAACGACGAAAACGACGAAAACGAGGCAAGTCCAGCGGTGGTCCTCCCAGGAGGCCCCAGCGAGGCGAAAACGAGGAAAGGGTAGCTGTATCGGCCTTTATTTTGTCATCGCTCGGACGTCCATTCCGTGCATTTTTCGGTTTCGCGCGTGGGTCGGCTCGATGATCCAGAATGCTCCTCGGTGGCCCTCACCGAGGAAAAATGCATACATCCAAGCGCTGCCAAGGTCTTCGTCCTCCTGTGAGGACCGCCCGTTGGTCGGGATGGAGCGGATGTCCGCGTAGCGCTCGAAGATGTGGACCCGGAAGCCCTTGCGCAGCAACACCACAGCCAGAAGCGACCCGACCTCGAGGAACAAACAATTACAGTAACATAAACGTCTGGACAGGGATCGACCGAAACGGTGTTTTTCATTTTCGTGTTGTGTTCGTTTCCCTTCAATGTGTCTTCAATCCGCCATTGCTGCAAAAGGATATCGAAACGAAAATGACCCAGGATATCGCCGAAACTCCGCTTAGGTCGACCCCTGCTTCTGGAGGTTCCTTCGGATTTCTTGGATCGGCGCTGGAGCACCCTGGCGGCGCCTCCTGCGCCGCCCCTGGCGCGCTCCGCGCGCCAGGGACGGGGGCCTAGCGCCAATCCAAGACGTCCGCGCGGACCTCGACAAGCTTATGCTTACTATGTTCAACAGATAAATCATCCAATCACCCAAAATCCCTGGACAAAACCCACAACCTGGAATATCCATTGAACTAAGACGACAAGACGGCCTGCCCCGGACAACCCCTGGGACAACCCGGCGGGGATCCGGACAACCCCCCCAGACACCACCCCTTGGACAAGCCTGCCAGGGGCGTCTCTTCCATAAGATGTAGCACGCCACTGCTTGCTCACTGGCGACCAGCCCGGCGCCCACGATGACGATGTGCTGCTCACCGCCGCCACCGCCCAGCACGACCTCCTCGGCGGCCTCGAACGCGGCGGCCTCCGAGGCCGTGGGCTTCTGCCCGCCCGCGGCCGCCGCCGCGCGCGCGCGCTCGCGCTCCTGGGGGGGGGCTCATGCAGAGGTCCTCTTGCGCCGGCATTGCCCTCCAGGCGATCTCTCCTGCTCCTCCTCCTCCTCCTTCCTACCTCCTCCTCCTCTCCTCCTCCCCTCCCTGCTCTCCTCCCCTGCTCCTCTCCTCCCCTCTTGCTCCTCCTGCTCCTCCTCCTCCATTCTCCTCTCCTCCTCCTACTCCTCCTCCTCCCCCTCCTCCTCCTCCTCCTCCTGCTCCTCCTACTCCTCCTCCTCTTCAGCAGTAGCAACAGCAGCAAAAGCAGCAGCAGCAGCAACAGCATCAGCAAAAGCATCAGCATGCGGATCATCATCATCAGCAGCATCATCATCAGCATCATCATGAGAATCATCATCAGCAGCATCATCATCATCATCATCATCATCATCATCATCATCATCATCATCATCATCATCATCATCAGCATCATCAGCATCATCAGCATCATCATCCTCATCACCATCATCATCAGTATCATGGTCAGCATGCATCATCATCATCGTCGTCATCATCATTGTCATCACCATCATCATCAGCAGCATCCTCATCATCATTCTCGTCGTCATCATCATCATCAACAACATCATCGTAATCGTCATCGTCATCGTCATCGCCGTCATCATCATCATGATCATCATCAGCATCATCATCGTCGCCGTCGACGTCATCATCTTCATCAGCATCACGTTCATCATCAGCATCACCGTCATCATCACCACCACCATCATCATCATGACCATGACCATGATCACCATCACCATCATCATCATCATCATCATCATCATCATCATCATCATCATCATCATCATAATCGTCATCATCAGCATCATCATCAGCAATCATCGTCATCATCGTCATCAGCATCGTCCCTCCTCCTCCTCCTCCTCCTCAGCAGTAGCAGCAGCAGCAGCAAGAGCCGCAGCAGCAGCAGCATCAGCATCAGCATCAGCAAAAAGCATCAGCATGCTGATCATCATCAGCAAAATCAGCATCATCATTATCAGCATCAGCATCATCTTCATCGTCAGCATCATCATCAGCATCATCAGCATCATCATCAGCATCATCGTCATCATCATCATCATCATCATCATCATCATCAGCAGCAGCATCATCAGCAGCATCAGCATCATCAATCATCAACGTCATCATCCTTCCTCCTCTTCCTCCTCCTCCTCCTCCTGCTCCTCCTCCTCCTCCCTCCTCCCCCCCCTGCTCCTCCCCTTCGTCCTCCTCCCTTTCCTCCTCCTCCTCTCTCCTCCTCCTCCTTCCTCCATTCCTTTTCCTTCACCATTTCTGGCCCTGATGCTTATTGACAACAGTTTCACATTTTGGGGCGGGTGGCTTTCAGGATGTGGCTCTCGCCTTAGCGCCACGCACATGCGCTGCACACATGTGCAGGAGCTGAAAGCATTGAGGGCGGGTCATTTTCAAAATGTGGCTCTCGCCGTAGCGCGGCGCACATTCGTTTACAAATGTGCAAGAGCTCTCGTCTCAGCGCGGCGCACATTCGTTGTAATTAATAAAGATTTTCACTGGTTGGGGGCGGTGCGTTTTCGAAATGTGGATCTCGCCTCAGCGCCGCGCACATTCGTTGCAAAACTCTGCAGGGGCTTCACGGATTGAGAGCAGATCGTTGTCAAAACGTGGCTCTCGCCTTAGCGCCGCGCTTTCGTTTTTATGTAAGAATTTCACGGATTGGGAGCGCTTCGCTATCAAAATGTGGCTCTTGCCTTAGCGTCGCGCACATTCTTTTTGAACAGTTCCACGAGTTTCGCAGATTCTCATGGATAACGTACCAGCATTCAGGATTGTCAGGGCGCAACGGTTTCGTTGGTTCGCGGTGTTGAAATCCCACGACTGGTGTTCTGGCACGATTCAGGATCGCAAAGACGTAACAGTCAGGACAGTCAGGTTAACACATGGCACTGAAGTCGTGAGAATGGTGTCTTGGCACGCTTCTAAGTGCTCACACGGCTGTCCCGAAACGGGGCAATTTCCGCAGTGGAAATGACCCCTTGTAGGGGCTGCTAAGAGGAATCTTGTAGGGAGGGTGTATTTCGACATCCCTCCCCCCCTCCTCCTCCTCCTCCTCCCCCCCTCCTCCTCCTCCTCCTCCTCCTCCTCCTCCTCCTCCTCCTCCTCCTCCTCCTCCTCCTCCTCCTCCCCCTCCTGCTCCCTCTTCTCCTCCTCGTCCTCATCCTCGTCCTCGTCTTCGTCCTCGTCGTCGTCCTTGTCCTCGTCCTCGTCCTCCATGTCCTTCCTTCTTCCTCCTTGCTCCTCGTCCTCGTCCTTCTCCTCCGTCTCCATTCCTTTTCCTTATAAATACCTTCTCCCTGTCGCAACCCGAGGCCAGGTTTGAGGGCGGGCCGGGCGTCTCGCCTGAGAACTCCTCACCCTTTGTGACCCTGAAGCTTGAAAAAGTGGCAACCGTTTCACAGATGGAGGGCGGATCGCATAATGTGGATCTCGTTTTAGCGCGGCGTACATTCGTTTTAAACATTTGCAAGAGCTTCACGGATTGAGGGTGGCTCCTTTTTCAAAGTGTGGCTCTCGCCTCAGCGCCGCGCACATTCGTTTTAAAGAGTTGCACGAGTTTCACGGATTGAGGGCGGGTCGTTTTCACCATGTGGCTCTCGACCTAGCGCCCTGCAAGTTTTTTTTTATACAACGAAAAGAACTTCACGGATTGAGGGCGGGTGGTTTTCAACACGTAGCTCTCGCCTTAGCGCGGCGCACAGTCGTTTTAAACAATTGCAAGAGCTTCACGGATTGTGGGCGGCTCGTTTTCAAAATGTGGCTCTCGCCTTAGCGCCGCGCACATTCGTTCTAACCATGTGCAAGAGCTTCTCGGATTGAGGGCGGGTGGTTTTCAAAATGTGGCTCTCGCCTTAGCGCCGCGCACACTCGTTGTAAACATTTGCAAGAACTTTACGGTTTCCCATGATCAACGTACCGGAAACGGCGTTTGGAAAGGATTCAAGATTATGCGGGTGCAACAATTATGTTGGTTCGCTGTGTTGATATCCCCAAACGACGTTCTGGCACGATTCTGGATCGTCAAGACGCAAAAGTCAGGTTCGCCCGTGGCGTTGAAATCCCGAGAACAATGTTTTGGCATGCTTCAGGATATTCAAACGGTTGTCTTCCAACGAGGCAGCTCCCTCAATGGAAATGAAACGTTGTAGGGGCCTATGAAGGGGGAGCTTGGAGAGAGAGGGTGAACTCCAACATCGTTGATGACCCTTGGGTTTACACTGGTCCTCCTCCTCCTCCTCCTCCTCCTCCTCCTCCTCCTCCTCCTCCTCCTCCTCCTCCTCCTGGCCTCCTCCTCAGCCCGCCCGCGGCCGCCGCGCGCGCACGCTCCTGAGGGGTCATCTGGAGGTCCTCCTGCGCCGACATGGCCCTCCAAGCCGTCGCTCCTCCGGCCGAGACGCAGCCGGGTGGATCCTGCGGCGCGAGCTGGCTGCGTCTGCCTGGGGCCAGGACTGCTGCGGAGCGAGGGTCGCGGGCGCGGCGGGGGGAGAGGAAGAGGCTCGCGGAAGGGTGCACGGACGAGGTGGTCCATGCGTGATTCCCCCCCCCAGTCCCTGAATGCACTCACTCCTCACTCCGCCGCACTCCTTCGCCTCGCTCATCGCCGCCTCCTCCCCTACCTCTCCTCATCCCTCCTCCTCCTCCTCCTCCTCTGCTCCTCCTCATCCTCCTCCTCCTCCCCTCCGGTCCCTTCTCCTCTCTCCTCCTCATCATCCTCCTCCTCCTCCTCCTCATCATCATCAGCATCATCAGCATCATCCCCCTCCTTCTCCTCCTCCTCCTCCTCCTCTCTCCTGCTTTTGTTCCTCCCTCTTGCTCCTTTTCCTCATCCCAACTGCTCCTCCAGGTCATCCTCCCTCCACCTCCTTTTCCTCCTCTTCCTTCTCCTCCTCCTCCTCCTCCTCCTCCTCCTCCTCCTCCTCCAGTACCCTCTCCCCCCTCATCTTCGTCGTCGTCCTCCTCCGCCAGCGACCACAACCACGACTACTTCGACGATCACTAACCATGACCCGGGGCGCTGGCGACCACCGTCACGACCACCACGACCGCCACCACGGCCATCACTGGCATGCCCACCACTGGCCCGACCGCTGCCGGCACGACCGCCGCAGCCACCCAGACCTCCTCGCGCTGTGAAAAAATCACGACGGGGGGGTTTTCGCCATTTTCGGCCTCTGGGGGCCCTTCCTGGGCCTCGCGACCGTCAAAAAACAACTTGGGATGAAAAACCAGCCCCGGGGAAAGGGTCCAGACCTCTGGGGGTCGACGATGCGAAAACATCACGACGTCGGGGGTCTGGGTACGGACCACGACCACCACCGCGACCGCCCGCACGAGCACCACAACCGCCCCGCCCCCCACCCCTCCTTCCTCTCCCTCGCCTTCGTGCCTGGCCGGCCCTGCCGCAGAGCGCGCCTCGCGCCTGTCCCCCGCCCCCCGACCCTCCCTCCGGCAGTGCCGCCCACGACTTCTCCCCTCAGAAGGGCATCCGTCAATCCAGGCTCGAGAACGCAGCCAGGCCAGAGCGACACTGGCCTAGGCCTTGATGAAGGGACCTGGAGGCGGAGGAGGAGGAGGAGGAGGAGGAGGAGGAGGAGGAGGAGGAGGAGGA